CCCCAAAACCCCAAAACCCCAAAACCCCAAAACCCCAAAACCCCGTAGAATGAGTATGAATTTAAATTAGATAATCTTAAAATAAGTGTTTGATCTTATATTAATCAAAATAGTCCTCCTATCTGTAGTAGTGCTCACTTTATCATCACTGTGGCTCATGATCTCCTGAGTAGAATCTAAGAACGTAATCGAATTCAACATAGTTGATCTCGTTGCTAGCCTTGGCTTGGAATCTCTTGCATATTAGCTGATATTCATCATCTGATATTTTAAGCTTCATGTTATCGAAAATTGATCTGAATCTAGTGTTTGCAATGAATCCTGACTTGCTTCTGTCCTTATCCTGGAAGAATGGCTTTATCAATAGTCTTCTGTGTTTAACTTCCCATCCAATTCTTTGAAGACATCCGTCTAGTAATTATTCCTCATCAGTATTGAGAACATCCTTAGGATCAAGTATGGATGGAGCCTTGAACTCAGAGAGTTTCTTTACTGGGTCTTTTTCAAGATCTTTCTCAGTGAAAATCTTCTCCATATCTTCATTGAATCTCACATAATCGACTTTAGTTGGATCACTTGGTAAGGCAAAGAAATTTTCCAAAACATTATACTCCTCGTTTGTGAGTTAAATCTTCTATGAATAGAGAACTCCTCTAAACTTTTAGGCTGCGACGTTTCCCTTTCTTAGGACATCATGGTCAAGGAAGAACTCTCCTAATCTAATTCTGTCCTTCTTTATTTAGGCTTTAATTTTAAAGATCAAGTTTTCCATTTCTTCTTCACCCTTAAAATTCTGTGATTAACTGGTATATGTTGATTTAGTAGCTAAAGGATCTGGAGGAATAACACCCTTGTTTGGATTGGCATCATTGATGAAGTCGAGATATTTAATGTCATTTTATGCGTTTCCATAGGTTTTGACGAGTGATTCAAGTTCCTCATCTGACATTGTGAAGCCAAAAGCAGCAAGTACCTATCTGAATTGCTTTGGAGAGACCTTAAAGTGCTTATGACGATCGAAATCTTAGAAAAAGCTCTTGGCGTCTAGTCTTTGTCTAGTGAGCAATTACTTAAATCTATAAACAACCTCTTCTGAGACATTTCTTTAAACCTTATTTGGGTTAGTTCTACCATAAATAGTTTGAGTTCTTGCATCATCTAAAACCATATCTACAGCTTTTTCAAGTCCTTTCTTTGTGAACACCTCATCAACAGTATCACAGAACTCTCTCCATTTAACATGTTTGCCTTCTTTAGGAGCTTAGAAATGACTAACTAGTTCATCAAACTCATGACTAGACAAGACTATCTTAGCCATATTAAGACCTATTCTGAATTGAGCCTCGGTGATATATCCTGATCTCAACTTATCAAAGTCTCTATAGAACTCACCGATTCTTACTCTTTGTTGTTTGCATTGTTATCTGATTCTTGCAATTACATCATCGACATCATCAGGTTTATGTTTAACAATATCGACTTCGACCTTTCTTGGTTGAGTTCTTGGGAAATATGAAAATGATTAGTTATAGTCTCTTCCAACTCCAAACATGTCCTCTGGTGTATCAACTTCATTGCAGAAGTCTACATAGTTTACTTCATCAGCATTTCCCATATCCATATATTTCTTCAAGACTAGTGCTAAGACGTTCTCTGGAGCATATATACCTAATTAGGCCAAGACTCTCAGGAATTGCATCTTGGTAACATGACCATTCTTAGTAATATCAAAATCTTGGAATTATGGCTTAAGATTGATTCTTCTATTTTACACAGCAGTTCTGTATTCTTGCATAATGCTGTTTAAATTTTCTTGATCCTCTGGACTAATTTCAAGATACTTTCTTCTTGCAAGGTATGTGTCCTCTTTGGTTACTGGTTTGACAGTTGCAACTGGATCTTTATCAATACCCTTAGTCGTGAAAGCAGAGTTAATAGTTTGGCAGAAATCGAAGTAGTTGAAAAGATTGTCTGGGTCGTTAGTTTTGTATTTTCCAGCTAAAGAATCGAACTCCAAGTCAGTTAATTGGAAGTTTAGCATAGAAAGGATACTCTTGAATTGATTGATAGTTACTTTTCCCTTTCTGAGTTTATCAAAATCTCTGAAGAACTCCTCAACTCTTACTCTCTTCATTACGACCATTGCTCTAAGTCTATCTTCAACGTCAGTTGGGTCATTTGCAATGTTGACGGCTTGCTATGAGAATCTATTTTCTAGCACATTGATTTCTTTAGTAGAACCTTAGAAAAATCCTCTTGAAGCTGTGGTGGTCTTTTTTTCCTCAGTTGAAATTGGCTCTGGAACTCCCCTCTTAGGAGTATAGCCTGGGAACATATCCTCTGGTCTATCTACATCAGCACAGAATTAGAAATAGTTGACTTCCTTAGTATTTCCCTTGTCAAAGTATTTTCTTATTATAAGTTCAAAAACTTTATCATTTGGTGGGATGATATTCAAATTTTTGAGAACTCTTTAGAATTATTGATCAGTAACGTGACAACACTTTGATCTATCGAAATCTTGGAAAGAAGGTTTCAATAAAATTCTGTTAGCTTGGACTAGTCTTCTCATGTTTTGAAGAGCATCGATCATAAGGTTCTTCTCTTAGTCAGTGAAATTCTATTATAAATTAAGATATAAATATGAAAGCTTACAGCAGTTGATCTTGAGTTTCCTAAAACTTCCTTGGGATTAGACTCCTCATCAAATACCTTATCAATGTTATTGCAGAAGTCTGAATAGTTGATTAAGCCGGTCTTATCGACGCACTTGTACTTATTAATCAGTTACAAGATCTCCTCTTCGGTGAATCTGAAGTTTAACGTTCCAAGGCAGGTTCTGAACTATAATTAAAGGTTATTCTCAAGTCATTAAGCTTAGTTGCATTTTATCAAATAGGTTAGAATACTTACAGCTGCCTCTCCAACAGTACCCTTTCTAAGCCTGTCGAAATCGATGAAGAATTGCTTTATACGGATTCTATCCTTAAGAACCATAGCTTACAATCTTTTTTCAACATCTAGCTCAACGTTTAAGATTTGTGCTGGTCTGGCTATGCCATTCTGGCCTTGAGATTAATCCTTATTAAGGATTTCTATGTTAATAGTCAGGGAATGTTTAATATAGTTGGTTGATGCAGATTTAATGAGTAGATCATGACTTACCATTGACGACATTGCCGAATGGGACGTAGGTTTCAAATTAAACTTTCATCATTTATATGTTAAGAATTATTTTATTTGGAACTTTATTTAATTTATACTAGATAATTCAGGGTAGGGGTTTTGGGGTTTTGGG